AAATTTTTTTAAATATTTATTTATTTATTATGTATACAATATTCTGTGTGTATGCCTGAAGGCCTGAAGAGGGCGCCAGACCTCTTTACAGATGGTTGTGAGCCACCATATGGTTGCTGGGAATTGAACTCAGGACCTTTGGAAGAGCTGGCAATGCTCTTAACCACTGAGCCATCTCTCCAGCCCTTCTTTTCTTTTTTTTAAGATACTCTGTGTGTATGCCTGAAGGCCTGAAGAGGGCGCCAGACCTCTTTACAGATGGTTGTGAGCCACCATATGGTTGCTGGGAATTGAACTCAGGACCTTTGGAAGAGCTGGCAATGCTCTTAACCACTGAGCCATCTCTCCAGCCCTTCTTTTCTTTTTTTTAAGATACAAACTAAGTCACATTTCCTCCTCAAACGCCTCCAAACTCATTAGAAGAAAATACAGCTCCTGTCATGACCTCTTAAGGGCCTGTAGGATCCAGCCCCTCCCTGTTTCCCAGGTCTCATCTTCCATTCTTTCATCCCACACTTCCGGGTTACCAGGCGTCTGCCTCAAGCCTCAAGGTTGCTCTCACTCAGGACATTTGCACCTTTGCATCTATTTCATTTTGTCTCTTGTGCAAGGAATGTTGTGGACCCAAATCTCTGCAGGGTTCTCTCGTCCTTAAGTCTCAGCTCACAAGTCAGAAAGAACTCTCCTTCGTGCGTCTGAAATACCCTGACTTCATTCCCTATCATCTTACTTGTTTTGTTTCCCTGAACTGGTAGCATTTTGTAATTCTGTGTTTCTGTCACGGTCTTGGCCTTTCAAACTATGCCCCCCCCGCCCCCGACGGCCACAGGTCTTACTAATGGTGCAACTGCAGTGTGGCTCGTGCAGCCTAGGGACTGGAATGCCATGTGCTGCCAGTGTAGAACACGGCAGATTTTAAGCCTTACTATTAGAAAGTGCCAACCAGAGAACTAAGAATGGTTTCTGCAGCTGGCAGTGCCATTTGCACTGGACAGCACTGCTCTAGATCACAGGGAATCTGTTTTGTGCGCACCTCTCCTCTCTACACCTACCACAATGCTTGGCACTAGCAAGAGCAAAGACTTAGCCCAAATTTCTATGCTCCTAAACGCCCCCAGGCTCACCTTTCAGCCCATGTTTGAGGCAATGCTCCATCACTACAAAGAACTGCTGCAGGGGGGCGTGGTCTGCATCCAGACTGCGTCCCAGGCTAAGGGCAGACTGGAGTAAGACCTTAATGCTGAGCTTCATCATGTGCATCAGGTTGGCACGCTCCTCCATCATCTGGCCCTTGGAAGCTGCGGGCACAAGCAAGGACAGATTCGTTAGTGGGCTGAGAGGGATGTGGAGGTGAGAGGGGTCAGTGGCGCGGCAGAGGACCAGGGGCTTGTTCAGGGTGAGGACGCACTGGCGGGAGGGTATCCAGGACTCGTAGTCAAATCGCAGTCCATCTCTGCTGGCCACAGCTCCTAAGCAAGCCACCTGGGCTTTGTGTGGAATCAGAGACTGATGCTTCCTCGCGTTGCTAGAGCGATGGCTCTAGTAAGGCTCGCCGCGATTGGTTTCTTCCCCGACCAATGAAAGGACGCAAAGTCTAGGCTGCCTTGCCCCCAAGCTAGGAGGCATACAGAGGAAGCGCCCCGCCTTCGACCACTCCTATTGGACAAAGCCAGCTCAGAGCCAGCCACAGAGGAGGACAGCCATTTTTTACTGTCTGACCTTAGACCGAGTAGGAAAGACACTTGCCTCACCGGGATTCGGAATGTCCTTATATCCTACTGTGCATGCCTTCAGGAAAGCGCCCTCCCTTCCTTTCTAGACCCCGCGCCTTCGTCCACGACGTGTGGCCAGTCTATGTTTTGCACCCATTTTAAAAAGTTCGTTAGAAGTACGTTCATTTCTACTATATTCGTCTTGTCATTTTGTTTGGAGAGTTAAGAATCCGTCTACAGTTGGTATGGGACAGCTAGAACAAGTGCTTAAAAAATGTTCGCTTAGCCGCTTAGCCGGGCGGTAGTGGCGCACGCCTTTAATCCCAGCACTCGGGAGGCAGAGGCAGGTGGATCTCTGTGAGTTCAAGGCCAGCCTGGACTACAGGAGCTAGTTCCAGGATAGGAACCAAAAAGCTACGGAGAAACTCTGTCTCGAAAATCCAAGAAAAAAAAAAAGTTCGCTTAAGCCCACAAAAACGACATGCTAGAGTTTGAAAAGTTTAGACTCCAGGACTGGAGAGATGGCTCTGTGGTTATGAACATGTACTGCTCTTTCAGAGAACCCAGGCCTACCACCGCCTGTAAGTCCAGCTCCAGGGCATCCTGCGCTGTTTCCTGGACTCTGTAGGCACCTGCTCATACCCACCTTCCCCCATACACACATAATTAAAATTATAAAAACAAATCTTAAAAAAAAATAGAGGGTCTGGAGAGAAGGCTCAGTGGTTAAGAGCACTGACTGTTCTTCCAGAGGACCCGGGTTCAATTCCCAGCACCCACATGGCAGCTCACAACTGTCTGAAGATCCAGTTGCAGGGGAACCGACATCTTCACACCAATGCACATAAAATAAAGTTAAATAAACAATAAAAAATATACACATAAAAAACAAGTAGACTCCAAACTGAAAGCCCCCACAGGAGTACTAGCTGCAGGGTGAAGAGGTCTCCCCGTGGTGTGTTCCTGCCTTTCTGCCTGCACCATCCTTCAGTCTTGTCCACTGGTGCAGAAAGATGGTGTGGCAGCGTGTTTCTGAATCCCAGCGCATGGAAGGTGGAGGTGTGTGTGTGTGGGGGGGGGGTCAGAGCCCCAGACCAGTCTTGTCTACATAGCAAGTTTGAGGCCAGATTGGACTACATGAGACTCTGTCTCAAAAAGCAAAGAAAACCAAACATAGCTGTTTACACCATGACCTGAGGAGACAGACACACGAGATAACTTCTTCCAGAGTGTTTGCCACTATGCTTTCAGCTCTTGGCTCAGCTTGCCTCTTGCCCCGGCCCTGTGAAGAGCTAAGACTCCACCCTGCCCGATCTAAGTTAAGTGTGAATTAAAGACCCCCATAGGTGCTGTTATTCCTTCAGACAACTCGCTCTAAGATGCAAGTGGTGCCTTTCTGTACATCCAGTGTGTGTGAAAACAGGGTGTTGGGAACGGAGAGCTGTGTGCAAAGATTCAACAGTACATATGTGTACTCACACACATAACCATGTGTAAGAAAACTCCCAACTAAAACAAGACAACTATGCACTTGAGCCCATGTGGGATATTGTAAAACAAATATTCAAAGCACAGCACCCACAGCATCCCATGTAATTTCTTTTTCTTTTCCTTCCTTTTTTTTTTTTTTTTTTTTTTTTTTTAAAGACAGGGTTTCTCTGTGGAGTCTGTCCTGGAACTGGCCTTGAACTCAGAGATCAGCCCACCTCTGCCTCCTGAGTGCTGGGATTAAAGGCTTGTGCCACCACCACCCAACTCGTTCCTCTCTTTAATGTTGTTCTGCTACCAGGCTGGAGAGATGGCTCAGAGGTTGAGAGCACTGGTTGCTCTTCCAGAGGTCCTGAGTTCAAATTCCAGCAACCATATGGTGGCTCACAACCATCTATAATGAAATCTGGTGCCCTCTCCTGGTGTGCAGACAGAACACTGTATACATAATAAATAAAATAAATCTTAAAAAAGAAAAAAGTTCGGCTGCCATTCAACTTCTACCACTGAGTACCCGTGGCAATAGTGACAGAGAGGGTATCAGGGAGCCTGGCCTGAAGTGCTGGCCACTGTCTTGTCCCTGTTTCTCCTCACCTTTGGTAGAGTGTGTGGCTTAAGAGCTGATGGTTTAAACATGGCTGACCTGTGGAGATACATACACCCAAACCAGCAGTTCCTCCAACTGTGACCCTTAAGAAGCCATGCTCATATTTTGCCACATTCTGTGACTGTTATTACTTAATACTTTCATTGAAGTGGCTAATTTCAAAACCCGACATTATGACACTTTACAGAAGACGTCACCTAAAGAGAGAGGTAGCCTTGTGCTGTGACTAGAAGCGAAGCATAGGCTTGAGAGAGATACTGTCTGCGTTCAAGTTTCCCTTTTAAAGGGTGGGATAGCAGGACCAGCAGGATGCTTTGTGGGTAAAGGTGTGAGCTGCCAGGCCTGAGCTCAGTAACCAACCCACAAGATGGAAGGAGCAAAGAATCCCGAAAGGCCATCCTCTGACTTCCACATGCATATCTCTCTCTCTCTGTCTCTCTGTCTCTCTCTCTCTCTCTCTCTCTCTCTCTCTCTCTCTCTCTCTCACACACACACACACACACACACACACTAAATAAAATGTAATAGAATGGATGGGTAAGTATCACCTGGCTCCCCCATACAATTCTAAAGCCCACACAAACACACAAATCTGGGCCAGGACAAAGCGCCAGTGTCGATCCTCCCTTCCTATAGAGAAGCTTCACTGGTGGGTGACAGTCTCCTCCTCTGCGGCTTGACTAGTGTGCTGCAGAGGGCTCAGAGGGGCTTTGTCCCTGCTCTTCCTGGCCACTCATGGTTGCAGTGAAGTTGAGGAGTGTGAGGGAGAAGTTTCAAAGTTTTTGCGAAGGCAGACAGACAGGGATCCCACATGAGGCTCCAAGTGCCCTGCCAATGCTCCCCGGCCCCATTGTTAGTTCCCACGGCGGCTGCAGCCTGCCTCAGCCGCTGAGGTAATTACGGCATCATTTGTCACTAGGTGTCTTCCACCGTCAGCTAAGTGACAAGTGCACCCATTAAAAGCATCCATCAGGCACACTTCTTTCTGTCTCTTACATCTCTCTTGCTTCTCTTGTCTCTTGCCTCTCCTCTTCCATGTTGTTTGTCTGCCTCTCTCGTCCACACTCTGAGACAGCCTTTTGCTCTCTTGCTCGTTCACTCTCTTCCTCCCCCAATAAACCTCTTGCACTAACTCTGCTGCACCTGGAGTTTTACTTAGTGGCAATACCTTGGCAGGGGCCACCAAAGGCGCCCACTTCACCTTTCCTTTTGATCCTTTCACCCCGGCCACTTCATCATAAAACACACTTCATTCAGAGCTATAGAGCTGGCCCAGTTCATTAAGAGTGTGTGCTGGTCTTAAAGATGATCCCAGGGGCTGGAGAGATGCCTCAGTGGTTATGAGCACTGACTGTTCTTTTAGAGGTCCTGAGTTCAATTCCCAGCAACCACGTGGTGGCTCACAACCACCTATAATGAGATCTGGTGCCCTCTTCTGGTCTATAGGCAGGATACTAAATAAATAAATAAATAATCTTAAAAAAAAAAAAAAAAAAAACCTAAGATGATCCCAGCATAAGGAGACTCACTCCAGCTCCAGGGGATCTTGTGCCCTCTTCTGGCCTCTACAAGTACCTACACTTATGGTGTGAACATAAATTTACCCAGGCATGAGTTGCGCACACACACACACACACACAATTAAGTAACTCCTCCCACACAAATTCAATGAAAAGTATTACTGTATAATTTATTTTGGGGGGGATGGGAATGACAGGAGTCTCACTATGCAGGAAAAGCTATCCTCAAACTTATGGTAATTCTCCTGCATCAGTCTCGCTAGTGCTAGGATTACAGGAGTGAGACATGACAGCTCACTGAAAAGAATTATCATCAACTCCAAGCAGGTTCTGTAAACTTTGCCCTTTGGTCCCAGTGGCTGCATTGAATCCACACCCATGAAGCCAGCCCTATCACCGTCACAGCTACTGTGGAGCTGGAGTTAAGGGGGCAATGGTAGGAATACAGCTCTAACACTAGTGTGGCATTCAGTAAGCACAGTGTTGTCTACGCTTTACGTCATTGCAGTAAAGGAAAACAGGGCCTTTCCAGGTACGCACTTGTTACGAGTCTGGGGCCCAGGCATGCTTTATCTGTCAATGAACAGTGTGACCTGTATAACAAGGCTTCAGTCAATGACTGATCAAGGACAAGCTCACAAGGGGACAGAAGAATTCCCAGAGCCTGTGACCCTGCAGTTGTGTTGCAGGATCTTTGATCACACTGTGGACCCTGAGATTGTATTAAATAAAATCAGCAATAGGTTGAGAGCAGGAGCAAGCAACCAGTTGATTAGAAGTAACCAAAGAATATGAGAGAAAGTTGGGAAGTTGGAGAAAGAGAGGCACAAAAGAAGGGAGGGACATCAGGTTGGAGGAGGTTTGTTTTTAGGCAGAGTAGGAGAGGGTCTCTCTTTTTTTTTTATTTTTTATTTTTTTCCGAGACAAGGTTTCTGACCAGGCTGGTCTCGAACTCACAGAGATCTGCCTGCTCTCAAACTCACAGAGATCAGCCTGCTTCTGCCTCCCAAGTGCTGGGATTAAAGGCGTGCGCCACTACCGCCTGGCTGCTAGGGTCTCTTTTTGGGATGACTGCAGAGGAGAAAGATCACCCAGCTGTTTTCTCTGCCTCTCTGAGCTAGCAGGCTTTTACCCCAGCATCTGGCTCTGAATTTTTTTTTTTTTTGGTAAAATAAAAGGATAGAGACTAGACAAAACGTTTGTCTCCCTACAGGGAGATGACTGAAGCAGCAGTAGGAAGAGAAGACTCTCCTGGCCTGCGGCCTCAGCAGCGAGGTGGCTGAGGCAGCTCTGGAGACAGTCAGCAGGATCAGGTGAGGCTGCTGTGCAGCAGAAATAAAAAAACAACACTTGTAAAACTGCATTCCTCATGCACTATGGGACAGCCCTGTAAACAAACCTGTTGTACTGACAGAGGTACAGAGTACAGCCCACACATTCAAGGATCCTCACAAAAATCTGGTACAGAGAAGTCATGGTTACTGGCTTCCCTTTCATCATTATTGTAGTATGTATGCCTTCCACATTTAACTACAGTTAACTGGGACATGTGATGGACCGGCCTGATTCCATTTTAAGATTAAAAACCATCTTGTTACGAGGTCAAAATAAGTTCATTCTTGTTTTCTGTGAAAATGCGACTGACCACGTCTTGAGCCATTTTCTGGAATTTGACACATTCCACACCTTATACCCTGACCTCCACTCTGATAAGATAGGATATTCTGCCAAATAGTCTTGAGGTCTTCTGCCAAGTTCCTATATAAACAAAAACCTTTGGAAAATCTCTAGCCTTGCAATTTTGGGGCTAATATAAACCCCACCCTCTCCTATGTTTGATATTATTTTCTTAAACCCCACTTTAGGGAAATAGCCCTGTCTGACAGAAAATAAAGCTTGCATAATTTGAATAACGAATTTGGGTAATGGTCTTTATTCTTGTTCAGTGGGATTAACAAATGTTACCCATAGGGTGGGGGGCATATTCTAGAAGAAGGCATTATGAACACAAGTGATAGCTCCCTGTGCACGGTTTCCTGAAGATTTTCCAGTGGGACAAGACAAGGAGGTAGAAGAGTGATAGTCATGATCCTGACTATCAGGTATAAGCCTATTAGGTATAAGCTAATGTACCTTAGTTAAAACACACACACACACACACACACACCCATATATACATTGAGGGGGTTTGTGTGTATGCCACAGCACACACACAGTAGGCGGAGATCAACTTGTAAGAGTCCCTTCTCTCCTTCTACCATGTGGATCCTGGGGATTCAACTCAGGCCATTGAACTTGGAGGTAAGCACTTTTACCTACTGAGCCATCCTGCCGACCTATTTTTATATTTTAAATTGCAGCAGCGATTGTGCACATTTAAGGGGTACACTGACATTTTAGTTTATGTGTGTTTGTAATGATCATCAGGGAGACTGGCATAACTATCACCTCAGCTTCCCTTTGTCTGTGTGGGGAACATTTAAAACCTCTCCATTAGCTGCTAGAAAATATTTAACAGTTGTTGCAGACATTAGCTATTCCAACTATGCTGCAGAACTCCAGAAACCCTTCCTCCTACCCAGTTCTACTCTGAATTCATTAACCAGCCCCTATCTATCCTCACCAAGCTTCCTGAAACTTTGGGGACTGTGGTCTGTTCTCTATTTATCTTTGCTTTTAGCCAAAGGCTTAAGTAAAAACCAAAACCAAACAACTTTAAATAGACAAATGATAAGGTATTGATATAAAGAAATAAAATATTTTTGATTAGGTATATAATGTGTGTTCTAAGCTGTTGTTATAAGAATCAAAGAACAACAACAACAAAACAAAAAACCAGGGCTGGTGAGGTGGCTCAGAGGGGAAAGGCTCTTGTCAAGGCTGGTGATCTGAGGTCTACCCACACAGCAGGAGAGAACTGACTCCCGAAAGGCATCCTCTGACCTCCACAAGTAAGCCGGGGCGCGCATGGTAATAAAAAGTAAAAAATAGGGTTGGATAGGTGAAGAAAGGGTTGCCTTACAAACACGAAGACCTGACTTCGGAGCCCGAGCGTTAAACACTGGGCATGGCACATCCGCCAGCATTCCCTGACTTCAGAGGCCCAGCCTTAAACAACGGGCACAGTGGCATCTGCTAGCATTCCCAGTGCTGGCAGAGCCTGGAGGGTCTCGCTGGACAGTGTGGCCAATTGGTGAGCCAGGTTTAGTGAGAGACCTTGTCTCAAAAATAAGGTGGAGCTGGGCGTTGGTGGCACACGCCTTTAATCCCAGCACTGGGAGGCAGAGGCAGGCGGATCTCTGTGAGTTCGAGGCCAGCCTGGTCTACAAGAGCTAGTTCCAGGACAGGCTCCAAAGCTACAGAGAAACCCTGTCTCGAAAAACCAAAAAAAAAAAAGAAATCAAAAATAAGGTGGATTAAATAGTTGAGGAAGATACCCAACATGGACCTCTGGTCTTCAAGTGCACAAACAGTACGAACACATCTGAACCCATATTCACACAAAAAAAGTGAAGGTTATAAAGCAGAAAAGTTACAGTAGTAAATCAAGGTTAATATATTACCAAGGAACGAAGTGTGGTTTTTTGTTTGTTTGTTTTAAAATAAACTTTAGGTAACAAAGTCGACTGTACACACAAAGACTCAGGCATTTAAAGTTAACACTCATTCTATCACAGCAACTTGAAGACTGCATGGTGAAGCATCATTATTTATTATTTATTTTGATATAGGGGCTCACTATGTAGAGCAGGGCGGGTCTCTAACTCACAGAGAGCCACCTGCCTTTGCCTCCCCTGTGGCAGGATAAAAGTAGAGCAACACAACGCCTGAAACCATGGCTATCTTTTATACTGTATTTTTAGGTAGGTCTAGAAACACACACACACCACTGCATTAAAATTAGCACAGTACCGAGTACAGTAACACACTGTGCGGGCAGTATGGACCTGCATCGCCATGTCCAGAAGTCAAAAATAAAATAATCATCTGTTTTTACTGGTATGCTGAAATTCTAATCTAGTTCTGAATCTAAGAGCTGAACTCGGCTTTACAAGGTAGTTGATTAAAAAGAAAAAAAAAATCCTCATTTCATAGGTTGGGAAATGCGTGTAGGAGGGGTGATGGCTTGTTCACGTCCCACAGGGCGGTGGGTGGCGGTGTATAAAGGGAACCAAAACCTCCTGACTCTGACTCGCCGCTCTCACTAACTTTGGAATACGGTGTCAACCTCAGTCGCAGGTGCACAACCGGCTAGTGGCCGGTCTGTTAACAGGGGACCAACAACAGACTTCGTTTCTCAAGTATGCAAAACATAAACACAGGTGACTTTCCGCCCGAGTCTCTCATTCAATCCTCTTATTTTAAGTCAATTCGTGGTCACGATGCCGCTGCTCTGGGGTTCACAAAGACAAACGCAAGGTGGGAGGGCAGTCCCCGGCCGCAGCTACCCTGTCTCGCTTCTTCTGCTGGGTCGGACCATAGACAGAACCCCGCCCCCCGCGGAACAGGTCGGCGGGGCAGCTCGTCCAACTCTAGGGCTCCCCTACCCCTGTAGCAGCCCCAGCCCGCGGGACCCCGGCCTACCTGCGCGCTCCCCACCGCCGCCGCCGCCGCCAGCGCCGTCTCCGAGCCCCGCGGCCGCGCGCAGCGCGCTCCCGCAGCTGGCCGACAGGTTCCCGGTGGCTCGGCGCGCTAGCGTCAGGATGGGCGCCGACCAGCTGTCAGCCGCTCGGGGCCGCGCCGCGCTCCGCAGCTCGCCGTGGCTCGGCAGCTGGCTCCGGTCCACGATCTCGAACTCTTCCCCAGACTCTCGGTCTGCCTCGGGCCCCGGCTGCGGCCCGGGCTCCTGCTCCGGCCCCGACTCGTGCCCCGCCAGGCGGCACTCTCCGCGGGCGGCCATGATGGCCGGTCACGTGACCCGCCGCTAGCCTGGCTGGCGGCCTCGCGCTGCTCCCCGCGACCTCTTCCCTCCCTCTCTGTTCCTGCTCGCCTGGGCTTGCTCTCCTGGAGTATCGCTAGGGGGAAATACGACTCCTCAGAAACGCCGGTGATCCCCAGCCGGGAGTACCTGAAAGTTCCTTTTGAACTTTCTGCTTCCTAGAACTTGGGATTCGCCTTAGTTTAGCGGTCTGGCAACCCCCTTGGTCCTTGTGACACCACTTCCTCTTCTGAACTTTCATTTCATGACAACTTTTTTTCCATTTGAGAGACACAATGTCACTGTTGGAGTTTTATTTGTTGTTGATGTTGTTTTCCAGACAAACCCTCTTTTTGCCCAGGCTGGCCTCAAAATAGGCCTTGGAGCTGGGCAGTGGTGGTGCCTGCCTTTAATTCCAGCACTTGGGAAGCAGAGGCAGGCAGATCTCTGAGTTTGAGGCTAGCCCGGTCTACAGAGCGAGTTCCAGGATAGCCAGGGCTACACAGAGAAACCCTGTCAAGCAACGTGTGCTTGACTATGGGTTGTTTTTTTGGGGGGGGGGAGGGCTGGGGAGTCGGGGCAGTTCTGGTAATTGAACCTTAGACTCACACATGCTAATCAAGATCTCTACCACTGAGCTGCGTTCCACCCCCAGCACACACACAACCAACAGGGACATTGAATTTGTGATCTTCCTGCTTCCATCTCTCAAGTCCATCTTGACAGCACTCAACACCCTGCTAGACATTTACTCTACCAACTGAGTTACATTCCCAGTCAGAATCTCAATTTTTAATCCCAGTACTTTAATCCCAGTATTCAGGGCCTAGAACTCAGTACTGTAGCACTAGCTGGCCTTGAATTTACGGTGATCTTCCCGCCTCTGCCTCCTGAGTACTAGGAATGCACGTGTGCCTCACTTTGCCAACTGATGTCCAATGTTTCTGACTTTATTATTTTTCTGCAGCATTCTTCAGAACAGGCCCGAAAAGGGCTGCTGAAGAAACTAGGACAGGTGAGGCGAGATCCACAGTGGTAGACTGGAAATGAGATCTGGTTTTTGCTATTAAGTGTTATAGGATTGGACCAACCTCATTATTAAATAAGATTTCACAATAACACAGCACACAGTCTCCCTTGTGATTGTTGTCTCTGCTTTCCAATTTTGGCCGGGATAAGTCACCAAACATATATGTGTTATCCAGCCTGTTTTCTTAACAGGAAAAGGAAGGAATTTAGCCATATTGAGATGAAAATGTCAATAGAATTTAACAATTTGCAAAAACAAGGAAATGGACCACATTAAACTCCAGAACTGCCAGTATTTAAAATTGCAGGAAAGTTTCAGGTCAGGCGTGGTGGCACACACCTTTAATCCCAGTTTTTGGGAAGCAGAGGCAGGTGAAACTTGGTGAATTCAAGGCCAGCCTAGTTTATATAGCCAGTTCTGGTCCAGTCAGAGCTACACTGTAAGAGCCTGTCTCAAAAAGTAAAATAAAAATGAAAAGTTGTGGTAGAGATCAAGTAATTTCACCTAAATCTCTGGATTCTAGTCTTTTCTCGAATCATCGATAGTTTGGACAACTTAGACTACGTTTCCTAATGGTAACACACTGGTAGTAGTGGCTAGATGGTTGCCGGGAGAGATTATCTGTTGTACTCCTTTTGGCAGCACAGATACTTCCGTTGGAATATAGTAGAGAAGTCCAGCCTAGTGTCCGTGCGCTCCAGGGCACAGAGACAAAGGTTCACGTTGTCTAGGTCATTATGTTCTTTTCAGCAAGCAGCAGAATGAGAAGCATGTGGTTGAGCCCTACACAGGGCCAGGCTCAAGTTCACTGACCACCGGAAGATCCACTCACATCTTAAAGAATGAAACCTCCCCCAGAAGTAATGCAGATGAATCTGAAGACCTGAGAAGTGATTCGTCCTCTGTATCTTCACAAGCCTCCGTGGTTTCTGTGGCAGAAGTGTCTCAGACAATCCTGCCTAATTGGAAATCTGGCTGAGGCTAACCCAGATTCTTTGATTCCAATCTTAATTCTCCTAGCACTCTGCGCACAGTAAATTTAGCTTTCTTTGGGTACCTATTACATGTTTTTCTGAGAGAATGCAAATTAAAGAGGCTACAGCAGAGTGCAAAGGGCTTTAGAGGTGGGCAGAGAGAAATGTCAATGGAATCTGTGTAGACGAGAAAGCAGGCACCAATCCTGGGATGACGCTGCTCTGTGGCCCAAGGGAAGGTCCTGGCTGAAAGACAGGCTTCAGGATGGAATCTAGGTAGAAGTGGAAACAGGTTGGACCAGGAAATTATGTGTTTGTGTTCAGGCCCAGCATGCAGTTCAGTGGGCAGCAGGGATCAAGCTGGCCTGAAGCCCCAGGGTCAGACTAGTGTTTTCCAATGGTTGGTCCTCTGCTCACGCTGGGTGTCGGGTTGGTGGGCCATGCTATCTTAGAGTGAGGTGTCTGCCAATTTATGGGGTCCAAATTCTTGGGCCTGGTTTCCCAGGTATAAATATTTTGTTTTTCAAGACAGGGTTTCTCTGTGTAGCTTTGGAGCTTGTCCTAGAACTCTCTCTGTAGACCAGGCTGGCCTCTAACTCACAGAGATCCACCCGCCTCTGCCTCCTGAGTGCTGGGATTAAAGCGTGCGCCACCACTGCCCGGTCCAGATATGCTTTTAAAATATACATGTTCCTCCATCATCTCAATTCCCCCTGACAAACCCTTTGGTTTGGTTTGGTTTGGTTCTATTCTCAGAATAAGCCATTTAATAAGTCTGTGTTACCTGGTTGGTGCCTGGCAGATGGTGAGGTTTGTAGGTCCATCTTTGGCTACACTCATCCTTGAGAGGGCAGAACTCAGAGGCAACTCCATTTCATCCCGTCTGTCAGTCCATGTCCCCCTCCCATACTGTTCGGCATGATCAACAGTCCCCGCTTGTAAAAAAGTTTCAATTTCCTAAAGTTAACATTACTAACATAATTTCTGCACACTCTAGTTTAGCCATTAACTCTTCCTGACCAAACCAGACCTAGGAGCCTCTGCCAGCCCTGATCCTCAGTGCTGATAAAATCCCCCACCTGTAAGAGAAGTTCTCTCACTCCTACCTTCTTTGATCTGATAAGAGGCCTTCTCAGGTTTATTCCAAAACAAACCCGCCCCATGACAATTGAGCCTCCTCAGTTCTTTTCTCTTTACATTTCTCCTCCTCCCTAAACAGAGCCCAAAGCTGTCTGTATAACAGTGTCTCCTAGGGCACAGATGAAAATATCACTGTCTTGGGGCTGGAGAGATGGCTCAGTGGTTAAGAGCATTGCCTGCTCTTCCAAAGGTCCTGAGTTCAATTCCCAGCAACCACATGGTGGCTCACAACCATCTGTAATGAGGTCTGGTGCCCTCTTCTGGCCTGCAGGCATACATATCGACATAATATTGAATACATAATAAATAAATAAAGATTAAAAAATATTTAAAAAAAGAAAATATCACCGTCTTATACACCATGGACTAAGAGTAGGCCTAGCCTAACCTCAGGATCCTTTGTTAAGACAAAAGAGTCTCATTTTGTAAGCTGTACCTCCTGCTTTTTTCACCATCGTGACCCACTGAGGGTGTGGTAACTTTGGTTGTATATTCAGCACTGTGAATGGGAGGAAGCTGCTGGCTCCAGAATTAGCAGTTGAGGGTTTTAGCTTCTCCAGACCTGCCTAGGTCATGCCTGGACCAAAGGCATGACCAGCTTTG